TGCTGGTCAAGAAGTTTTTATGGAAAGCCATGATATCTATAAGTGAAGCTAATAGACTAGGTAAACTATATCGACAAGCTTCAGCAGTAGATCTCTATATAGACAGCCTGAAGCCTAGGGAGAATTTATTATAAAGTTGAAGTCGGTGTGATATTTTTAAGATCCGACGACAAGTAAGACCTGCTGAAGTCTATATGTACGAGTTGAGGGGGCGGGATAGCCATATATAGGCAATTTGAAGCCTAGACGACAATTTGAAGGCTAGTCTGAAGAGCTGTCGGTTTCGGTCATGCTGGTCAGGAAGCCTTTATGGAGTAGCATAAGGCCGTGGTGTCTATGAAGTAAAGCTAAACTATACCGACAACCTGCAACAGTACCATTCTATATAGACACCCTGAAGGCTAGGGAGTTTCGATTCTACAAACAGTTTATAAAATGCACGGCCAGTAGATAAATATCTCACAAAATTGTCGACCTGTTGGTAAGAATTGTTAATTGGTCTGACAAGCCGAAAAGTATCCAAATAGGACCCAAAGAAATAAAAATGGATATGAAAGGAGTTATGAGGACAACCAGTACGTAATAAGTCCGAATAATTCAAATGGCGTCAGAGTTTCTTTTTTTCGAGTTCGCAAATGGCGCCCAATTAAAAAGTCATTTTTTTTTTACCTAGAGGTCTTAATAGTTGGGAAGGAGGAGATCGTGAGAGGTGCGACTTGTAGAGGATTAATCTAATGACAAGGAAGTCTTAAAAGTTGGAATGAAAGCCAGAGTGTGCTTAGAAGAGACGCTGGCTTGTTAAGCCCTGGATGTCAATATTGACGATATAAATGTCAGGGTCTATAGAAGTCTATGGGAGAAGTCAAAGTTTTTTTACGAATTCGCAAATGGCGCCCAATTTAAAGAGTCAATTTTCATAGAGATCCCAAGAAGTCTCTATAGCTGAGAAAGAGGAGCTCATAACAGGTGTCACTATAAGAGAATGCGCTCGTAACAAGTTTGACTAATAGAAGAAGAGGAGCTCGAAATAGGTGGCACAAGTACAGGAGGAGGAGAAGCTCCTAAGGGGTGCGACTAGTAGAGAAGAAGGATCTCTAAGATTTGCGACTAGTAGAAAAGAAGGAGCTCACAAGAAGCGTGACTTTTAGAGGAGGTGCTCGCTCCAAGTTTGGGGTGTCTTAATGGTCAATCTGATGAGAAGGGAGTCTTAATATTCGAAATGAAAACCAGGATGTGCTTAGAAGTGACACTGACTTGTTAAACCCTGGGAGTCAATATTGACGACATGAAGCTAAGGGTCAAATAAGTCTGTGGAAGAAGCCTCATTTTTACAAATTCACAAATGGCGACCAATTTAAAAAGTCCATTTTCATAAAAATCCCAAAAAGTCTCAATAGCTAAGAAGGAGGAGCTCATAACTGGTGTGGCTATTATAAGATGAGCTTGTAGCAGGTGGGACTAATAGAAGATGAAGAGCTTGTAAGACCTGCAAATAGTAGAGAAAAAGGATTTGAAAGATTTGCTACTAGTAGAAAAGAAGGAGCTGACAAAAAGCGCGACTTGGTGCTCACAAGTAGTTTCAATAGCTGAGAATGAGGAGCTCATAACAGTTACGGCTGTTGAAGTGCGACTATACGAAAACCTGGTCTCCACCAAGTTTTCTATACGAAAACCTGGTCTCCACCAAGTTTTCTATACGAAAACCTGGTCTTCACCAAGTTTTCTATACGAAAACCTGGTCTTCACCAAGTTTTCTATAAGAAAACCTGGCCTCCACTAAGTTTGCTATACGAAAATGTGGTCTCCACCAAGTTTTCTATACGAAAATCTGGTCTCCACCAAGTTTTCTATAAGAAAACCTGGCCTCCACCAAGTTTGCTATACGAAAACATGGTCTCCACCAAATTTTCTATACGAAAACATGGTCTCCACCAAGTTTTCTATACGAAAACCTGGTCTCCACCAAGTTTTCTATAAGAAAACCTGGCCTCCACTAAGTTTGCTATACGAAAATGTGGTCTCCACCAAGTTTTCTATAAGAAAACCTGGCCTCCACCAAGTTTGCTATACGAAAACATGGTCTCCACCAAATTTTCTATACGAAAACATGGTCTCCACCAAGTTTTCTATACGAAAACCTGGTCTCCACCAAGTTTTCTATACGAAAACCTGGTCTCCACCAAGTTTTCTATACGAAAACCTGGTATCCACCAAGTTTTCTATACGAAAACCTGGTCTCCACCAAGTTTTCTATACGAAAACCTGGTCTCCACCAAGTTTTCTATACGAAAACCTGGTCTCCACCAAGTTTTCTATACGAAAACCTGGTCTCCACCAACGCTTTCTATACGAAAACCTGGTCTCCACCAACGTTTTCTATACGAAAACCTGGTCTCCACCAACGTTTTCTATACGAAAACCTGGTCTCCACCAACGTTTTCAATACGAAAACCTGGTCTCCACCAACGTTTTCTATACGAAAACCTGGTCTCCACCAACTTTTTCTATACGAAAACCTGGTCTCCACCAACGTTTTCTATACAAAAAACCTGGTCTCCACCAAGTTTTCTATACGAAAACCTGGTCTCCATGAAAGTTTTCTTCACAAAAACAAGATCTCCACTAAAGTTTTCTATACAAATTCTGGTCTCCACCAAGTTTTCTATACGAAAACCTGGTCTCCACCAAGTTTTCTATACGAAAACCTGGTCTCCACCAAGTTTTCTATACAAAAAACCTGGTCTCCGCCAAGTTTTCTATACGAAAACCTAGTCTCCACCAAGTTTTCTATACGAAAACCTGGTCTCCCCCAACGTTTTCTATACGAAAACCTGGTCTCCACCAAGTTTTCTATACGAAAACCTGGTATCCACCCAGTTTTCTATACGAAAACCTGGTATCCACCCAGTTTTCTATACGAAAACCTGGTCTCCACCAAGTTTTCTATAAGAAAACCTGGCCTCCACTAAGTTTGCTATACGAAAATGTGGTCTCCACCAAGTTTTCTATACGAAAATCTGGTCTCCACCAAGTTTTCTATAAGAAAACCTGGCCTCCACCAAGTTTGCTATACGAAAACATGGTCTCCACCAAGTTTTCTATACGAAAACCTGGTCTCCACCAAGTTTTCTATACGAAAACCTGGTCTCCACCAAGTTTTCTATACGAAAACCTGGTCTCCACCAAGTTTTCTATAAGAAAACCTGGTCTCCACCAAGTTTTCTATACGAAAACCTGGTCTCCACCAAGTTTTCTATATAAAAACCTGGTCTCCACTAACGTTTTCTATACGAAAACCTGGTCTCCACCAACGTTTTCTATACGAAAACCTGGTCTCCATCAAGTTTTCTATACGAAAACCTGGTCTCCACCAAGTTTTCTATACGAAAACCTGGTCTCCACCAAGTTTTCTATACGAAAGCCTGGTCTCCACCAAGTTTTCTATACGAAAACCTGGTCTCCACCAAGATTTCTATACGAAAACCTGGTCTCCACCAAGTTTTCTATGCGAAAATCTGGTCGCCACCAAGATTTTCTATTCGAAAAACTGGTATCCACCATGTTTTCTTTACGAAAACCTGGTCTCTACCAACGTTTTCTATATGAAAACCTGGTCTCCACCAAGTTTTCTACAGGAAAACTTGGTCTCCACCAATATTTTCTATACGAAAATCTAGTCCCCACCAAGTTTTCTATACGAAAACCTGGTCTCCACCAAGTTTTCTATATGAAAACCTGGTCTCCATTAACATTTTCTTTACAAAAACAAGGTCTCCACTAAAGTTTTCTATACAAAACCAGGTCTCTACCAAGATTTTCTATACGAAAACCTGGTCTCCCCCAAGGTATCTACAGGAAAACCTAGTCTCCATAAAGGTTTCCATACGAAAACCTGGTTGAGGTTATTATTAAGTTATTAAGGCTGGCCGGATGAACCATAGGCTTATGTCACGGGGGTCCTTGTCCTTGTAGTCTATCAGAAGCTCAGTGGATCTACATAGACGACTCAGTCAAATAGGCGATAATGCTCTCCAAATTTCGGTAGACTCTCATTAAAAAAAAAGAAATATTATTTACTAGCTTTACTTTGCGTTATCATGAATGATCCTGCTTAATTTCCCCCAAAAAAATTTTTTCTTTTGTCAATTGTTTAAAGACTCTGTTTATGCTGCGGCTGTGGTTTTTGTTATTGTTGCTGCTTGCTGTGGCGTTGTTCTGACTTAATCGTACCTCACAAAAATGCATTTGGGATCAGAAAACAATATAAAGTAATGTTTGGCTCGAGAGAGGCGCGTGCGCTAATTTTTTCGTTCTTCCCTGTGCTTACAATACATACCTACCGTATGTATGTAGAACTCTTCAGCGGTATACATACATAAGATTGCAGTAAATGAGTTCGGGAGCGGGAAAGAGGGGTTCTGTGGGGAAGTGAATTTTCGGCGCTTTTTTCCAACCGGCATTATAAATGCAATCAATATAAAGGTGCTCAGTCTCTCTCTATCTCTCTCTCCCACTCACACTTTATCTCTGGCCCCCCTTTTTGGTGGGGTTTGATGTGTGGTTGGAGCAATGGCTATGTGTGTGTGTTTGTGTTGTAAGTTCTCTTCCATTGAAGAGAGTGTGCAAAATCTGAGAAACTGCGAGAGTTGCATGTCAGACAATGCATTGCTTGGTGCAGCAGTTACTTTGCTCTTGGCAGTGTTTCCTTGTTGTTGCAATGCATCCAACCATCCATCCATCTCAAGTATGCAGTTTTTTTGTGGCGTGTGTGTGTGTTGTCGCTTTTTCTGTGTTCTCTGAGTACACACAAGATGTGCGTGTGTGTGTGTCTGAGAATGGGTGCTTTCCTTGTTGGGTTTATGTTTTGCACCAGCGAACGTGGCAGAGTATGGAGTGTAAGGCCATGAAGATACAGCACTGCATGAGTGTGTGCGTGTGTAAGTTTGTTGGTAGCCTCTACTTTGCGCGGGCAATCTGCATCTTTTTTGTTTGATTTTTCATTTAGTACGTCGCTCACATTTCAACTGTTCGGTAGGGCATTGGCGTTGTTGTTTGTTACGTCGTTATAACGTTACGTTGTGCATTGTGCTCTGCTTTCTTTTGATTGTGTTTTTATTTTCAACATTTTTTTGCAATACGATTCTTGAGTTGTTACTGTATGAGCGTTTTTTTTTTTCTGTTTACAGTTCTTCAGAGTGAACTCTTTTTTTATTCTTTGCTGGTGTTGTGAGAAAATCTTTTGAACACCCGAAAAATGTCTTTGAAAGTGTCTTGTTGTTCTTTGTTTTTTTTGGGGGTACTCGAGAGAGTGCGTGTGCGTAAATATTGCAAAGTGATTAAGAGGTTTTATTAAGTCTTTTTTATGGGGGGTTTCCTGGACCTAAGATGTGTGAGTGTGATATTTATAAAAACAACCAAAAAAAAAAAAAAAGAAAAAAAAAAACGGTGATATGAACGGCAACAGAGAATTAAGAGTACCCTTCAAATTGGGCGCCAGTGCAGATGTTGAATGAAAAACGAAAAACAAAATTTGCCATATGGAATGGATTCCTTGGACAGAGTCAGAATGTGGGCTAAGCTAGATAATAGACACAAGATAATAGTCTAGCACAAGGTCAATGATTAGATGAGCTGAAGTCTAGGGATTCCTTACAGAACAACAGGGCAATTTTATACAAGCTGAGGGTCAGGGACTCTACGAAGGAGTTGTAATGACAGGCACTACACAAAAACAGCTGGAGAACCGGAAGCCTGACATATTAGATGTTGGGTAAATAATTTTTATTATTGAGTTGAAAGGTCATAAAGAGCTGAACCCAAACAAAATATAAAAATTGTTTAAGAAGTCTATCAGAGGCAAGCCATAGGGTCAGTAAGTGTTGAATGTTTAAGAAGCCTACAGTACACAAAGTGGAGCTAGGAGTATGTGGAAAGAAGTTTGAGGGCCAACGAGGTTCTGCAAGTGAGCGGAAGAGCCACGGAGTCCTTGAAGATGACCTGAACTGCCAATGAGACTATAAAGACCTGCTGTCGACTTAAGCGGACTGAATACCTAGTTGGTACATATAGATTAGCTAATGGCTCAGTGAGTCTTTGTGCATTCGCTGAAGTTTCAGGCAATTTGTATAAGCGTGACAATGTGACAATGGGGATATAAACGAGCTGAAGGTTCGGGCCGTCCAGGGAGTCTACAAAGACAAACTTATCTAACCAAACTGAAGGGTCAGAGGTTATGCGGGGTCAAACCAAATTATCTTCACCAAGTTTTCTATACGAAAACCTGATCTCCACCAAGTTTTCTATGCGAAAACCTAGTCTCCACCAAGTTTTCTATACGAAAACCTAGTCTCCACCAAGTTTTCTATACAAAAACCTGGTCTCCACCAAGTTTTCTATACGAAAACCTGGTCTCCACCAAGTTTTCTATACGAAAACCTGGTCTCCACCAAGTTTTCTATACGAAAACCTGGTCTCCACCAAGTTTTCTATACGAAAACCTGGTCTCCACCAAGTTTTCTATACGAAAACCTGGTCTCCACCAAGTTTTCTATACCAAAACCTGATCTCCACCAAGTTTTCTATGCGAAAACCTAGTCTCCACCAAGTTTTCTATACGAAAACCTGGTCTCCACCAAGTTTTCTATACGAAAACCTGGTCTCCACCAAGTTTTCTATACGAAAACCTGGTCTCCACCAAGTTTTCTATACGAAAACCTGGTCTCCACCAACGTTTTCTATACGAAAACCTGGTCTCCACCAACGTTTTCTATACGAAAACCTGGTCTCCACCAATGTTTTCTATACGAAAACCTGGTCTCCACCAATGTTTTCTATACGAAAACCTGGTCTCCACCAAGTTTTCTATACGAAAAACTGGTCTCCACCAACGTTTTCTATACGAAAACCTGGTCTCCACCAACGTTTTCTATACGAAAACCTGGTCTCCACCAAGTTTGCTATACGAAAACCTGGTCTCCACCAACGTTTTCTATACGAAAACCTGGTCTCCACCAACGTTTTCTATACGAAAACCTGGTCTCCACCAAGTTTTCTATACGAAACCCTGGTCTCCACCAAGTTTTCTATACGAAAACCTGGTCTCCACCAAGTTTTCTATACGAAACCCTGGTCTCCACCAAGTTTTCGATATGAAAACCTGGTCTCCACCAAGTTTTCGATATGAAAACCTGGTCTCCACCAAGTTTTCTATACGAAAACCTGGTCTCCACCAAGTTTTCTTTACGAAAACCTGGTCTCCACCAAGTTTTCTATACGAAAACCTGGTCTCCACCAACGTTTTCTATACGAAAACATAGTCTTCACCAAGTTTTCTATACGAAAACCTGGTCTGCACCAACGTTTTCTATACGAATACCTGGTCTCCAGCAAGTTTTCTAGACGAAAACCTGGTCTCCAGCAAGTTTTCTAGACGAAAACCTGGTCTCCACCAAGTTTTCTATACGAAAACCAGGTCTCCACAAAGTTTTCTATACAAAAACCAGGTCTCCACAAAGTTTTCTATACCAAAACCTGGTCTCCACCAAGTTTTCTATACGAAAACCTGGTCTCCACCAAGTTTTCTATACGAAAACCTGGTCTCCACCAATGTTTTCTATAAGAAAACCTGCTCTCCACCAATTTTTCTATAGGAAAACCTGGTCTCCACCAAGTTTTCTATAGGAAAACCTGGTCTCCACCAACGTTTTCTATACGAAAACATAGTCTTCACCAAGTTTTCTATACGAAAACCTGGTCTGCACCAACGTTTTCTATACGAATACCTGGTCTCCAGCAAGTTTTCTAGACGAAAACCTGGTCTCCACCAATTTTTCTATACGAAAACCAGGTCTCCACAAAGTTTTCTATACAAAAACCAGGTCTCCACAAAGTTTTCTATACGAAAACCTGGTCTCCACCAAGTTTTCTATACGAAAACCTGGTCTCCACCAAGTTTTCTATACGAAAACCTGGTCTCCACCAATGTTTTCTATACGAAAACCTGGTCTCCACCAAGTTTTCTATACGAAAACCTGGTCTCCACCAAGTTTTCTATACGAAAACCAGGTCTCCACAAAGTTTTCTATACAAAAACCAGGTCTCCACAAAGTTTTCTATACGAAAACCTGGTCTCCACCAAGTTTTCTATACGAAAACCTGGTCTCCACCAAGTTTTCTATACGAAAACCTGGTCTCCACCAAGTTTTCTATACGAAAACCTGGTCTCCACCAATGTTTTCTATACGAAAACCTGGTCTCCACCAAGTTTTCTATACGAAAACCTGGTCTCCACCAACGTTTTCTATACGAAAACCTGGTCTCCACCAACGTTTTCTATACGAAAACCTGGTCTCCACCAATGTTTTCTATACGAAAACCTGGTCTCCACCAATGTTCTCTATACGAAAACCTGGTCTCCACCAAGTTTTCTATACGAAAACCTGGTCTCCACCAAGTTTTCTATACGAAAACCTGGTCTCCACCAACGTTTTCTATACGAAAACCTGGTCTCCACCAACGTTTTCTATACGAAAACCTGGTCTCCACCAACGTTTTCTATACGAAAACCAGGTCTCCACAAAGTTTTCTATACAAAAACCAGGTCTCCACAAAGTTTTCTATACGAAAACCTGGTCTCCACCAAGTTTTCAATACGAAAACCTGGTCTCCATCAAGTTTTCAATACGAAAACCTGATCTCCACCAAGTTTTCTATACGAAAACCAGGTCTCCACCAAGTTTTCTATACGAAAAGCTGGTCTCCACCAAGTTTTCTATACGAAAACCTGGTCTCCACCAAGTTTTCTATACGAAAACCTGGTCTCCACCAAGTTTTCTATACGAAAACCTGGTCTCCACCAAGTTTTCTATACGAAAACCTGGTCTCCACCAAGTTTTCTATACGAAAACCTGGTCTCTCCCAAGTTTTCTATACGAAAACCTGGTCTCCACCAAGTTTTCTATAAGAAAACCTGGTCTCCACCAAGTTTTCTATAAGAAAACCTGGTCTCCACCAAGTTTTCTATACGAAAACCTGGTCTACACCAATATTTTCTATAGGAAAACCTGGTCTCCACCAACGTTTTCTATACGAAAACCTGGTCTCCACCAACGTTTTCTATACGAAAACCTGGTCTCCACAAAGTTTCCTATACGAAAACCTCGTCTCCACCAAGTTATCCATACGAAAACCTGGTCTCAACCAAATTTTCTATACGAAAACCTGGTCTCAACCAAATTTTCTATACGAAAACCTGGTCTCCACCAAGTTTTCTATACGAAAACCTGGTCTCCACCAAGTTTTCTATACGAAAACCTGGTCTCCACCAAATTTTCTATACGAAAACCTGTTCTCCCCCAAGTTTTCCATACAAAAACCTGGTCTCCACCAAGTTTTCTATACGAAAACCTAGCCTCCACCAAGTTTTCTATACGAAAACCTAGCCTCCACCAGATTTTCTATACGAAAACCTAGCCTCCACCAGATTTTCTATACGAAAACCTGGTCTCCACCAACGTTTTCTATACAAAAACTTGGTCTCCACCAACGTTTTCTATACGAAAACCTGGTCTCCACCAAGTTTTCTATACGAAAACCTGGTCTCCACCTAGTTTTCTATGCGAAAACCTGGTCTCCACAACGTTTTCTATATGAAAACCTGGTCTCCACCAAGTTTTCTATACGAAAACCAGGTCTCCACCAACGTTTTCTATACGAAAACCAGGTCTCCACCAAGTTTTCTATACGAAAACCAGGTATCCACCAAGTTTTCTATACGAAAACCTGGTCTCCACCAACGTTTTCTATACGAAAACCTGGTCTCCACCAACGTTTTCTATACGAAAACCTGGTCTCCACCAACGTTTTCTATACGAAAACCTGGTCTCCAACAAAAATGTATGTGGTTCCTACCAATCGGTACCCTAAATTCTCTATACAAAAAATAGGCTATCCACCAAGATTTCTATGTTTGTAATCGACCAAAGCTATCGACAATATCCTTTTTTTGCGGAGTATAGTTCATTAATATGTTC